TGGGAATATCTCTCATGCTTCTATATTAAATTCATGGGAAGGTGTTTCCAATGTGCTGCTGGATGCCATGCAGTGGTGGATTATGTTTGGTTTAATGGAAAAGGTAGGGAAATCTATACAAAACTTTTCTTTCAAATCAAACACAGCCAAGGGTATAAGTGGGATGTCTCATTTAAAGAATCTGCAATGTATCAGGCCCGAGATTTCAGGCCGACTCAAATTTTGACAAAATTTCAACTCAAGTCCATCCAAATTGCACCCCTAGACTGATTTGCTCACTAACAAGACAAACAGAGAAAGAAATTATTTTCTACCAAATATCTTCATTCAAACTTCGACAAATTCTCCCGAGTTTTCTATCAATAATCTTTCAAAAAATAAGTAATTAGATGGTGTTTGGTATCATTGCCATCAGAAAATCAATGCAGACATAGTGCCAAAATAGACATTTCCCCAATGAGCTTGAAAATTTGTTTGGTTAAGCCATTTATTAAGAAAATGTGTTTCTTAGGTTATGTGAGAATCATCCATTAAGGGGGCATTCATTTTTTTTTAGGGATTTTGAGGGGAGAAAGTTGATCAATGGGATTATTGTTCCCATTAACCAAGAAACCCATGTTTTTTTTTTTTCAAATTTATGTGGGGATCAGGGAAATTTTATTTTCGTGGGTATCACTTACCCACTTACCTAGGTAAGTGATAGCCATTTTACAAGTGGATAAACCACTTTCCCACTTGGGGGATGTTGTCAACACTTGGATGGGACAAAAATGCCCTTTTAATAATTGGTTTTTATGGCTAAAATAGTCATTGTCTTGTTTACTTGGGAAATAAAAGAACATGGATAAATGCATTTACTGAGAAAAATGTTTCTTGGAAAACACTTACCTACAAAAAGTGAGCGAGGCCTAAATGGAAAACACCTACCTGGTGTTGTCAAAACTGGACCAGGTCAGATAGCCTAGATGGTCAAAAACGGAAATGTCAGCTGAAATGGTTTTGATAAAGGAAAAATCTATGGATCATCTGTAAATCTGTTTTGATAAACTGAAGCAATATAATATGCTTATGCAGAAAAAAAAAAAAAACTTACAATATTTACTTATTTTGATAGGAAATGGTTTTAAAATATAATATTTTTTTAAATATTTTTATTTGAGCTAGTGGTCAAATTAGAGTATTAGACAAAGTTTTTCTTCATAATTAAAAGATGATACCTAGACCTGGCAATTGGGTTGGGTGAGTCGGGTTCRGGTTGGGTCAAGACACTTCAGGTTGATTTCGGGCCGGGTTGAATTATCAAATACTAGACCCTAACCCTAAATGTTTAGGATAGGGTTGACCCATGGGTCAATTCGAGTCATACCCAAAACATAACTGAGATTTAAAAAAATAAAGAAAAACTACATGAAAAATACCAAAATTAACGGAATTAACCTTAAAATTCCAAATATAAAATAAAAAACTTGAACATTTAACAATTTAAAGAGTAAACAATAAAGAGTAAAGACTAAATAGAAAAAAATAAAAAGTGGAAACTTCTAACAATGCATAAATAGTGCCAATTAGACTTGACAATTGGGTCAGTGGATTGACCCATGATACAACCCAACCTAACCCAGTTTTTCGGGTCGGGTCACCCTCACATTCAGATAGCTAAATATGAGACCCTAACCTTGTTTTTTCGGGTTGGGTTGGGTCAGGTTCACAGATTGGGTCAACTTTTTGCCAGGTCTAATGAAACATGCGACTTGTAATTATATGACCAAAAAGCTTAGTTTAGAAGGAGTATAAATACAAATATGGAGAGTACATTTATATTATAGATATTTGTATTTGTACTCTTTCCAAATTGAGTTAAAAGGTTGTGTATAGTTAGTTGAAATTGGCTCCCCACAAAACGCATCCTAACGTGCATTGAAAACATCTTTTGTAATCGTCATGGAAACATTTCCTAATACATAGTTGGGAATTGGGAAGTGGTGTGGGGAGACCATCCGAATTCATGTATAGTCCGAATACACTGAACTAGACAACACGGTATCACTAGACCTGGCTGTAAGGAGTTCACATCAGCCCCCTACAAGGGGGTGCCCCACAATGTCTTACAGCACATCCCATTATGTATTAGGAGCACCTCCTGATGATGTTTCATTATTTCTTGTATTTATCGTCGGGAGGTGTTCTCAATACACGGCGGAGATGTGCTGTGAAATATTGTGAGGTCCTTGTGGAGGCTGATGTGAACCAGGCTGTAGGACCGCAAATAGTATCTGATTGTTCAATACCATAAAAGGGGTGAGCTGAGAGTTAAATTTTCTCATGTATTCAAAGAGGCCAATTGGGTTGCTAACTTGCTATCTGATTACTAGACCTGGCCGGTCCGAACACCAAGCTCAAATCCATTATCATACAGTAGAAAATCAGGCTTTCCGATGAATTATTTTTAATAGCTTTCTCAAAGCAGTGAAAGCAATTCAACCAATGCTTTTAGTCCTTTCAAATTGATCTCTAACTTCATCCTAGGATTATTAGGACTGTAAATCGAGATTGTCCCATTAGAAGGATTTATTTTTCCACCAAAGTATTCATCATAAGAATATACTAATTTCCTTCTTGCTAAAGGTTCAAAATATTGCAATTTATATTGTATGATAATAAATTCGGTAAAAGGCCAAATGCTAAGAGCCATAACTGTTTAATGGATTTAATTTTCTAATATCCATTTTTTGGTAGATATTAATATTAATATTTATCCTGATAAATATATTTATAAATTTAAAAATAATGTATCGATTGTTAAAAACTCCGGTCAACGGCAAAAAAAAAATGAAGGCCGAAAGCGGGCCCAGTACAAGCCAAACAAACAAAAAAGGAAAGGCCCAATCTAAGGATGGCCGGGTCAGTGGAGAAAAAAACAGCGGGGCCTATAGCAGTAGTATTCGTGCGCTACACGCGCTACAGACAACAGTGTGGGCCAACCTGTTGAGAAGCGCGATGTCCACTGTCCAGTCCTCCTTTCGAAGTAACCATACACGCCACGTTACCAAAGCAAATGAAAACCAAACACGCCACGTTGACTTCACATCTCCGCCCCATAACGCCCCACAGCACATCCCCGCGTGTATTGAAAACATCTCCCACATCAGTTCTGGTATTATCGTTGGGAGATGATCTCGATACACGACAAGAATATACTGTAGGGTCTAGTGGGCCGGCCCAATCAGAACTCGATCTGACAATCCCGTGTTTTTATATGGATTGGGCTTAAGTTTTCAAGTTGCAGGTGGGTTTGGGTTACGCCTTATCTATGAGATAGCCTAAACTTAATTTGAACCCAGTCCGATTCAAGTCCATCCTAACAAATATATATATATATATATAAACATTTATTTTATTTATATATAAAAATATTGTTTTAAAGTATGTACATATAGATTTGTAAATAAAATTTGTATATGTCTGCCATCAACTTTACTATTAATAAATTCTTGTAAATCCAACCAACCCACCCAAACTTAATTAAGCCCAGCCAAACTCCATCCCAATTGTGTAATTGTGTTGAGTTAAGCACAGGTTAGGCCTGGCTTGATAAATTTCGGTTTGAACCTAAATTGGATCAGGCCCAAAACAGAAGTTTGTACATTTTATGGTCGAGCTGGGTTGACCCTCAACCCGACCCAACCCGACGGAGTTGTACCCTACTCTACAACGTAGCCTGCCACTGCGTTGGGAGCTCGAAATTAGACCTATTCATGGGTCGGGTGGCCCGACGGGCCAGGTCGGCCCTCGGACGGGTTTGAACATGGTTATAGGCCCGCGGGCTTAAACTCGGGCCTAAAAGCCTGGCCCACAATAAATTTGAGCCGGGCTCGGGTTTTGTCAAAATAGCCCGACCCGAGCCCGGCCGACCCGACCTAAACCTAGACCTAAAAAACCCTAATCGAATAGCCCCATATTTTTATTATCTCCTTGCCTCTTTCCCTCTTCTTTTTCCAGCTGAACCCTTCTTCTCCAACCTCCACACTCCACAGTGAGGCGGCAAACGTTCATCGACGCAATAACTCCGGCAGCGACGGTGAGTTCTCTCTCTTTCTCTCTCTCTCTATCTCTCTCTGATGCGAAGTTGCGAACTGATGAGGGATCTTTGTCAAAGTGCGACGGTGAGTTCTCTCTCTCTCTCAGATGCGAAGTTGCGAACTGATGAGGGATCTCTGTCAAAGTGCGACGATGAGTTTTTTTTCTCTTTCTCTCTCTCTGCGAAATTTATTAGGTCGGGCTTCAGGCTCAGGCTCGGGCCCAAGTTATAGGCCCGTAGGTCAGGCCGGGCTAGGGCTCGGGCCTAGCATATTTTCATTAATGGGGACTAAAAACCCGGCCCAGCCCATGAAGAGGTATACTCGAAACACGAAACTGAATGTTCTGAATGATATCACAATCGAGAATGGGTGTAAACGCCACGCGTCAACTAGATTTTATTCCTCTTGTTTTTATGATGACCAGCATCAACTAAGATGATCGGGCCCACCATCAGATGGGTCTTTAACCAAAAATCAACATAGTCGCATGATTTCAATTGTCTGATAAGGAAAGCTAGACTCTATCCGACGGCAGATAAGCAATTGTTAGAATCTTAAAAGGAATTAACGAATCGGATGGCTGGAGATCATCTGATCTCTCCGATCTATTTAGGCATGTGATCTTTTACGTGATACAGATTTGATGGTTAGTCCAGATCCCTTTTATGTGGGCCCGACAGCCATTATGGGGAGGACACGTCATTGCAGTTACAATGAGAGCGCCCTCATTGTAGCATAATCTGGCTCTTTCGGAAAGAAACATGTAAACCAAGCTTTCCGAGATTTTTATTTGCTAATTTTCATTATTACGTTTCTTCTTTGTTTTATTTTATTTATTTATCTTCTTTTATTCTATCAATTCGACGTGGTTGGTCTTATCTGAAATTTTAGAGATAATTCGTCGCAAGTTTTTAGGTATTATTTCTGAAAATTTTTCATCGTATCCTTGTTTATGAAGAAGTTTCACAGAATCTTTATAACTTTCTGTTGAATTTGATATTAGTTCTTCCCATATTTATAGATTTGCGCCATCTCAGCAGCTGTTTGTTGGGTAATCTTTGCTAGAAATCAGTTATTAGGGTTTTCGGAACATTTTGGTTCCGCGAGAGTCTATCTTTGAATCAATTTTTGATCTTCATTTGAGTCTTTTGTTCTCTGTCTACCTATCTATTCTTTCGCCCGTCTCTTCTTTAGAGTTCGAATTCTGACTCTTGGAATCTTGGAATCTTGGATTTACGCTAGGGTTTTGGGATTCTGGTTATATATCAATGAAAGGGGAAGTGCAGCTGGAACCTTCGAGTGAACGGAATCCAAGCGATTCCGATCCTCTGCTCGAGAACAAGGCCAACACTTCCACAGGAAGTTCGAGCGAGATAAAAGATGAAGAGATTGAACCTTTTTCTGCGGCTTGCTGTCGTATCTGCCTCGAGTACGATGGTGAAGCAGGTGCAATTCATTTTCCAATAATTGAATCTAATCAACTTCAGCACAATATTATACGTCTGTTGAAATAGCTTGCTACCATTCTGCATTATTTATATAAAAACTAAGCTCTCTTCTTCTATTGATAATGGCAGCAAAATCATAGAAACTGGAATTTGTTTAGAAAGTTTCAAGATTGACGATATTTATGATAATTCATGAATCAAGGAACTCCACCATTTTGGGATGGCTATTTCAACTTTTGGTAGATGCTCACGTTTAAACTATACCGTAATGTAACTTTCTTCACTAATTTACTCAGTAGAAATGTTAGATTAGTAACTATTACTATTTAATGATAAAAGTAAATTACCTATATTTTGGTCAATCAAGGTTTAATATGTTATGTAGCCCAAAAGTCCTGGTATCATGCTCCTGATTTCTAATATGGATAGATGGGGAGAACCATCCATTTGGCATGTATTCAGTGCCTTACTACAGGCACACCTTTTGTGGCAGTGTATTTTCTCATTTTCCATTTTATAAACATGACCCTTCTTTGTTTTGAGTCTTTTAGATCTTTATGTCAAGGGGAAAGCTAATTTCTTGCAGTAAAATATTCTGCCAATCGTGTAGAAAAAACTGAACGCGGAGTTTGTAATTAAATTTGATATGAAGTAGCATATATTCCATCTACAATTTAAATCTTATTTGTTTACTTAATTTTTGCTACAGGTGAGGGATTGATATCCCCATGCATGTGTAAAGGCACTCAACAGTTTGTTCATCGTTCATGCCTTGACCATTGGCGCTCAGTGAAGGCAAATTTTAATTCTTGAAGTGCAAATGACATACTTGTACAAATAAACCTTGAATTAACAGAGGGTTGTGACACTATGTGTATGTTATGGATCTGGTAGCAAGGTGATTTTAATCAGTATATTTGTTACAGGAAGGATTTGCTTTTTCCCACTGCACAACTTGCAAGGCACAATTCCATCTTCAAGTTGACTTGTTAGAGGACTATTCTTGGCGTAAAATCAAATTTAGAATCTTCGTGGCCAGGGATGTGCTCCTTGTATTCTTGGCAGTACAAACTGTAAGTGAAAGTTTCAGTAAATCATTTCAGGAAATATGCTGGTCCTCCTATGTTCCATTGATATGAGTAGAAACAAAAGAGCCTTGCACAGTTTAAAAGTTTTGAGTGCACCATATTTTATCATATTCCATTAATGGAGTTAATTGCATATGGTAAGACATTGAACTTGGCCATGACGCCATGTACCTATTGAATAGGATACAAATGAATGTAGCCATGTTCTTTATTTGCACTGTAAAAATTTCTTGGATGAAATGTAGAAGTACTTAAGTTTCAATATTAATCATTATCTTGTATTTCAGAATGATGCATAAAGTGTATTAATGAATTTAATAATTGATAAAGAAAATGAATGTAATTATGTTATTTTTTCCAAGAAGAAAAAGAATTAGTTTGACAAAATTTTTTAGTTATCAATAGAGGTTATTCTGTCACAATATTGAACAGAACTATAATAAGAAATCTAAAGCTGCTACACCAAGAATCTTTACTTGAAGGCTCCAGCGTGACTTGGCAAAGTCTTTTCCCTTTGACCAAGTGTTGTACAATCTTTATCTCTTTCTTTCAATCTTTTTTCCCTATGCTTGGCAAAGTCTTTTCAAGCAGGTTTCATGCTTGGCATATTTATTTGAGATTGCGGATTTGTGGATATGAAGGGTTTTTTCAATGCAGTGATGATTTCAGTCTGTTTTGCTGGTGAAGGGTCTCTTTTCTGAAGTTATTGATGGAGTGCGGATTCTCTTATAATAGAGCAGGTGGGGGGAAGAGAAGATGGGAAGCTTCTGCCTGGTTCTGTAGATTGGAGAACGAAGGGAGGGTAAGGTGCAATCTTTCTTACAGAGAAGTGGTGGCGGGGGTTTGGCCTACTTTTGGGGAGTCAGAGGTGAAATGGGTTAATGGTAATAGGGTGGTAGCAACGGATCCTCAGGGGGGGAAGCAAAGATGGGAAGCTTTTGCCTGGTTTCGTAGATTGGAGAACGATGGGAGGGTAAGATGCAATCTTTCTTACAGAGAAGTGGTGGTGGCGAGGGTTTGGCCTACTTTTGGGGAGTCAGAGGTGAAATGGGTTAATGGTAATAGGGTGGTAGCAATGGATCCTCAGGGGGTGATTGCGAGAAGAGAGTTTTTGAGGAACTGTTTGGTGGGTAGGTTATGATGGGGGGTGGAGATTAAGGAGGTAGAGAGGTGGGCAAATGGCGTTTGGAGAGAGGTGAGGGGTGTGAGAGTGAAGGAAATGGCAGATGGTCTATTCCTCTTTATTTGTCCGTCAAGAGCTGGTGCAGATTGGGTTTTAAGACAAGGTCCGTGGCAAATGGGAAGAAACCCCCTTTTGCTGGATTGGTGGGGGGCGAGTGCGGGATGCCATTATCCTGATCCCTTCGAAGTGCGGGAGAGGACCTGGAGTCATGCTGGATTAGGGTTTATGACCTGCCACTCCTGCTCTTGTGCCCAAGTGTCATAAAGGCTATTGGGGATGCTTGTGGGGGTTTTATATAGGAGGACGATTCCTCGTTGAAGATTGCGACTTGCGAGTGGGTAAGAATGAAAATCCGCAGGGGAAACCAAATTTCGAGCAAGGTTGAAGTGGTCTTCACGGTTCAGATCTGGCAAGAAGTTATGCCATCTGTTTGAAGTTGGAGAGGTGGAGAAGGGCTGTCTCGCAATGTCCCTAAAGGAGACAAGGAGAGTTCGAACTGCTCCAAAACGTTAATTCTGGAAGATTTTGGTGAAAGTGAGCTTCTCGGTTTTTCGGTAGCAGAGAGGTATCAGAAGACGAAGATGCGAGTTGCTTCTTCGGTGACCGTAGATAGAGAAGAAGATGCAGGTTTGGGGGTTCTTTTGAGCCATCCGATGTTGGTGACTTCGAATGGTATAGATGGGTTTACCCAGGATCCAACTGTGAAGGAGATTCGAAATTCAAATCTGAGGGGCAGTGGGCAGGCTTGGGGTACTGAGGTCATTAAAGCCTTAATCAGAGAATGCCTTGCAGAGCTCCAGTTGGCCCCTAGGGAAGTTAGTGCGCCAGAGAATTGTCAGAAGGGCTGTCAGCCTCCTCCACTCGAGTTTCAGTGGGCCCATGGGACTTCGGATGAAGTTAATGGGCTTGGAATGCTTTATTCAGCCCAGCCAACTCTTCAACCTTTTATTATGGAGGCTGGGCCTGGGCTCAATGGTTATATTGAGTCTAGTCCATCCTCTGTTCGAAGGACGAACCTGACACCAGATTTCAGTCCTTAGGTTGGCGGTGGTCTTCAGGGTGTGGGTTCTGGGGAGGCTCGGGATTCTCAGGAACGAAGGGGGACTGCTGCTGGTAGGGAGAAGGGTGGAGAGGGAGTTTCAGATCCCGATGCTGGGGTTGTGAAATCTTGGCCTTCCCAAGCGTCTGCTCTGGCAGGCGAGACTCAGCTAAAGTCCAACCAACTAGCGGTGCTAAGAGAGGAAGAGGAGTGATGAGCAGTCTTCTTTCATTGAGAGACCTTTTTCTGAGGAGGAAATTAAAGAAGCTATCAAGTTGTTGGCTGATGAAAAGTCTTCAGGGCCCAATGGTCTTACAAATCTCTTTTACATTAAATGCTAGGACATGGTGAGACAGGATATATTGAATGTTTTCCAGGACTTTTTTGAGAGGGATTCATTGCAGAGAAGTCTAAACACTACCTTTATAACCCTCATTCCAAAGATTGAAGGTGCTGTGAATATTAAGGATTTTAGGCCAATTAGTCTGTTGCATAGCTTCTAYAWAATCCTATCTAAAGTCCTTGTAGAAAGATTGAAAGCAGTTCTTGGTAGGGTTATCTCAAATAACCAAAGTGCTTCTACAATATCCTATCTAAAGTCCTGTTAGGGTTATCTCAAATAACCAAAGTGCTTTTATTCCGGGTAGACAGATGCTAAATTCAGTTCTTATTGCCAATGAGCTCATTCATTCCAGGAAAAAAGAAGACTCTCTGGGTTTGATTTGTAAACTTGATATTGAGAAGGCCTACGATCATGTTAACTGGAGATGTGTAGACCTTGTGCTTCTTCAAATGAATTTTGGGCAGAAATGGAGGAATTGGATGAAAGTATGTATCGCTTCCCCAAAGTTCTCAGTCTTGGTAAACGGACAGTCTGCAGGTTTCTTTGATAGTTCCAGGGGTCTTAGGCAGGGAGGCCCTCTATCTCCTCTGTTATTTCTATGTGTAATGGAGATCCTCACTCTTTTCTGCAAGAAGGCTGCTGAGTCAGGGGATTGGGAAGGTTTTGCAATGGTGCCGGGGGGAGAGAAGGTGAACATTCATCAATTTGCAGATGATACAGTATGTTTTGTGGATGCTTCCCCCTCTCAGGTGGAGCTAATTCTTGGGATTCTCTCTTGGTTTGAAGTGATTACAGGCTTGAAAGTTAATTGGAATAACAGCCAAATTATCCCAGTCGGACTTGTTTCCAATTTAGCTGAGTGTGCTGGTATTTTGGCTTGTCAGATTGAATCTCTCCCAGTCAAATATTTGGGACTCCCGCTTGGGGTGAGTGGTGGTTCCTCTGCTATTTGGGACCCAGTTATTGAGAGATTGGAAAGGAAGCTGGCTTCTTGGAAGGCTAAATACCTTTCTTTTGGGGGGAGGGTGACTCTGATTAAGAGTACTCTCTCCAATTTGCCTACCTACTTCCTATCTCTTTGCTATTCCAATTTGCTCAGGCATGATACTGGAATATTTGCTATTACAACAGAGTTTTGTACAGTTCAAATTTTATCTCCCGTCCTTTATGAATCAGAGTCTGAAAACAATTAATGTAGTACTGAGCAGCATACATAGACATCTGCATTGCACAAAGGATTTCATTTTGCTATGGAAGGCAAAGTTATATAATTTCTCCTCCTGATTGAAGACTTTCCTGGGTGAGATACAGCATATGGTCTATACTTCCTTCTGTTGAAAGGTCATTGGATAATTGATACTGGAAGCCCTTTCTTCAGCTCTTCTTATGCATCTCATATATCCATCCTTAAATTAAACCCTGGAAAGGAATGTTTTATGAATGAATAAACCACCAAGTCATGAAAGTGCTTAAATCAATGGAATTAATATAGTTGGTAAGCCAAAAAGAGTGTATTTGGGTTGTCTACCAAAAAAAACATATTATTTGACTGGCCACATTTGATGATTCTGCACAGAACATTTAGCTTGATCAATGAACCTCTCTTTTTATAAATCAATTGGTCAATGAGCTATTATGCTGTTTGAGATGAAATATGTACCTGTATCAGAGACTCCCTTGTTTATTCACAGCAAGAAGCATTTATCTTTGTGCGGGATATTTTCTGTCATTTCTGAGCTTGGGAAACACATTTTCTTTACACGGTTCTGAATTTGCTTTTTTGCCCATAAATGCCTGCCTTAAAATGCTGAAACTAGTCTTTTTGTATTTTTGGTTCAGGTGATTTCTGCAATGGGTGGCTTTGCGTACGTCATGGACAAAAATGGGAGCTTCAGGAATTCATTCAGTGATGGTTGGGACCGTATCCTATCAAAGCATCCAATACCCTTTTACTACTGCATTGGTATGACTTGTTCCTTTCACTGTTATCTCTGAGGCCAATATTGTATCTTATGCCAGGGGCTATAAATCACAGTAGTTTAAAATGTAGCGGGTGTTTACTTATGTGTCATAAATTATGTTATAAGGATTCTCCATTTCTGAAATTTGTATCATTGTATGATACTCGACACAAGGAGACTGTGAACACCGCTATTTCAGTTTTTTGGAATTCAAAGTGCCAATTGCTGCATATTGATATAGGACACAGATATTGATAAAAAAAATATAGGACACAGATTGTCTGCATCTTTGTTACATTGTTGTATTTTTTTATTTTTAAAATAAAGTATTTCATTATGTATGAAAATAACGTGTACAAGTGTATCCCCTGTTACATTAATGGCTATCTATCCATCTAATTTTTGACCAACAAATAATGAGGAAACATTAGTGCCTTTCTAGCAGCAGAGTAAAGACTGTCTACCTTCAGTGTAGCTATAGAGAAATACACATTGCAAGAAGCTATAAATTACCAGGCTAACATACATGAAAATAGAAATAATTTAGATTATGTGGATATCTCATGGAATGGCTTGAAAGCATTTTTATGCCATAGGTTGGACTAGAATGAGATGCCATGGGTCTGATTTTTCTAATTGCACAATCATTTAAACTTGTGGCATAAGGATCAATCATGATGCCACAAATAGAAAAAAAAATTGTAGAAGGAAGTTTCATCCATATATTGCATTAGTTAAAGAAAAAAAAAGATATTTTAAGAACATTTTATCAATTAATTTCTTAATGCATGAATTCATATCTATCTCAAAATTGTCAATGTAATAGAAGAATTCATATTTATTCCTAGATACCTAAAGGGCATCCTAGTGCATGAGGCTCCCACCAATGCGGGGTCTGGGGAGGGAGTTTCTTTAAGTTACAACACATTCACATTTCATAATGATACAAATCTGCTACCAAATAAATTAGGTTTCTTCATAAATTAACTCTGGATCTATTACCAACAAGTCTACCCTGTTTGGCTTGTTTGGAAGACTTATTGCATACTATGAGGTCAATGAATCGACTATGGTTTCAAAGCGTAGTTCAAAATTTCAAACATTTCTTGGATCTGTGCAATGTTTGACACTTTGACTTTGACATTTCCATTTGCAATGCAGGGGTCCTAGCCTTCTTTGCACTGCTGGGGTTTTTTGGTCTCATATTACACTGCTCCTCTTTCAACAACAATGACCCATGCATGGCTGGCTGTCGTAACTGTTGTTATGGATGGGGCATATTGGACTGCTTCCCAGCTTCTATGGAAGCATGCTTTGCCCTTGTTATTATTTTTGTCGTCATCTTCACCATCCTTGGCATTGCCTATGGCTTCCTTGCTGCCACAATGGCTATTCAGAGAATCTGGCAAAGACATTATCACATCCTTACCAAGAGGGAGCTCACAAAGGTAAAGATCACTCAATGTGTGCAAGTAGGCCTTTTTCATAATTCATCTGTAAAATCACTGGACCTCATTTTCCTTCCTGGGCTCATGGAGATCTTTTAAGTGCATGGAGATGGTTCAAAATACTTTAGCATTATTCAGGAACTGGGAGTATATCTCTGGCATTTACTAGTTTTGCTAAAAAATACATTGCAGGAATATGTAGTGGAGGATCTTCGTGGGTGCTATACACCGCCAAAACTGGACCGGGAACATGAAGAACGTCTGAAAATGCTTAAACTCTTGTAGGACATAATGCTTCTTTTACATGATAAGAACAGCTCTGGTCGATGCCTGTGTAGAATGTGAATGACTGTAACTTTGTGAAACCTGGCAAAAGTTGAAGTAAATAACATGTATAGAATGGTTTTCTCCCTTGCATGTTCTTGAACCTGACAATTGGGGTCAGTAGCTGTCTGGGATTCCTCTTTTGGTATGCCCATCAAAGAGTGATTAACCAGTGTTATGGAAAATTGCATCTCTCTAAATTATAATCTATAATTGATGCTAAAAATCAAAGTACATTATGGAGAATTGAACACAAAGCTCTTTATATGAGATGCAAGAACGTTATCACATTGCCAATGACCTAGTTGGTCACTCTGCACTCATCCCTTTGACGAGGTGCAGGCCTTTTACTCCATGCCTTTAATCCAATCTTATGTGAACTATAAAATTAGCATTTTTAAGTATTAATAAAAAAATTATATTCAACTGTTTTAAATGGTTGGTTTTTCTTCCATTGTTTGAACTTTGAACATCTGTAAGTGTATTCCGATGATTCACACTTCACATGAACTATTGAAGTATGTGTATATATTTATACCTTGTGCAGTTGTGACAAGGTTCAAAGAATCGATGCTTCGCATTACTAATACACTTCGCAATTAAAATATTTTTGAACCTGTATTGAACTAAGAAACCCGACATTTTATAAATGTGCTGATGAATATCCCATGAAACTAGTCAATAACCACCAAGATGCTTATAGACTAAACTGTTATTAGAGACAGACCAGACAACCATTTTGGGTCATTGGATCACAGGTCCGAAGGTCACTGTTTTGACTCTTTCAAAAAACTAAAAAATATATATAAAAACATAGACAAGTTTTCTGGCTGATTGTAGCGAAGATTTGGATCAAATCTTGCTGCCACCGAGTTGGGGAGTTATGGGTAGGGCCGTAGGGGTGAGATGAATCAGGTCCCTTCCTCAATTGTCATCAGACAAATATAAAACCATTTTGATTTGGTCATCAGACCTGCTCGAATGAAAGTTATATATAATTACTAAGGCCACCCAAGTAACAGTGCTGACAATACCAGCCGAGCCAGCTAGTGCCTTTAAACCATAATAAGTTGCAAGAATCAAGCTCATGAAAACAACAGACCTCGTAAAGTCGTCAGGTCGGAAAATAGACAACCTAAAATGAATCATGACTACGAAATAATGCTGAATCAATATATTGAAAATAGGATTCAGTATCCAATCCACGACCCACAACCAAACATGAATTGTGTAGGGGAAAAATAGAAAGAAAAAGAATCAAAAACAAAAAGAGAATTAGCAAGCTTCCATTTATGCACTTGATACAATTCTGGTGTCTACCTAAAACCTTTCTTTGGCGTCGTAGGAGAATCCCACCATTAAGAATTAAGATTTGAATTGCATAGCCACCAAAAATCAAATCTATAGTGATTCATGTACTTGATACAATTCGACTTGTCACTATATAAAAAAGAAAAAACAAGGGAGGTGGGAAGGAAGCAAGAAAAAAAATTACGGCAGATGGAACACAAGTTAAAGAAATGCTCAGTTGAAACTTGAAAGTTAAAACCGAATTGATATCCCAAACCATATCCATCTAGAACTGAAATAGAAGCATCTAAACGCAACTACTTCCATAGCTTTCTTAAAGACATGTTTTTCTCAGTCTCCTTCTTCATGACCTTGGCCACTGCCATCTCGAAATCTTCTTGTGTTACGTGGACTCTCCTCTCCCTTAATGCAAACATCCCCGCTTCTGTGCACACAGCCTGAAAAAGGAAGTAAAATTTATGTTTTAACATGTGAGTTATCAAAGTTGATTGAAAATCACCAAAACTTAATTTTATATACATGCATATTGAGCGAAAAAGTAGATCAAGGGATCCATTAGCAAGCAAAGAATAAATAATGACTACCAGAAAAAAGTACATGTAGAATTGCAAGGTTTAGCTGAACACACTTTAGCTGTTCAGTGGAGCCCATGAATTTATTACTGGCGTGGAACCTCATCATTGGTTCCACAGCCCGCTGAACTGCTAAAGCATTCAGCTAATCCGAATTCCATGTATAAGTAAGCATACCTTGAGCTCCGCACCAGATGCACCATTCATTTTCTCAGCAATCTTCTTTAGGTCAATACCACGCATCAAGTTCATTTTCCTTGAGTGTATTTTTAGGATATCAAAACGGGACTGAAATAATTAAACAACCAAATCAGGATATGGAAAAAACAAATTAGCAAAAAGAACTCAAACACCTCAGACAACATCATCACAGGAAAATTATTGCTGATTTTCAATTGAGAAAACTGGATAGGTTGATCAATTGGAATGCACCAGTAGTGGGTAAACCCATTCAAGTTTGATGGGTGCAGCTTAGGGGTGAGCAAAAAAACGAGAAAACTGAACCGGTCGGTACGGTTTTGGTTAACCATTTTAAAAAACCGGCAGTTAACCGAACCAACCGATATATACACAATAATATATATTTATATAATATTATTTATATATATATATTATATTAATATTATATATTGTTTTTTATTGTTTTTTTGAAAATCTAATAAATACTGAACTCAGACATTTCAGTTCGGCAGTCTAGGCTCTAAAGTGTGCCAGACTGCGAACAGCCAGACTTTTCAGCCTAAAAGTAAAACCTTTGCTTTTCCCTTTCTCTCTCTCTCTCTCTCTCAAATTCTCACTCTCAGACTCTCAGATTCCCACTCTCCCACCAACGGGCGACGGCCTTCGGCACTCTCAAAATGAACTGCAATAGCTTCATAGACGGCCTTCGGCGCTCCCAAAAATCAACGGACCAATGGGCGACAGCCTTCGGTGCTCCCAACTGCAATAGCTTCAACGGACCAACGGGCGACAGCCTTCGGCGCTCCCAAAAATCAATTTTCTTCTTCGTTCTTCCCCAATCTCTGAGCTCTCTCTCTCGTCTCTGAGCTCTCTGTGTTTCCCCCACTCTCCCTGTCTCCAATGCCCTTTTTTTTTAATTTTGAAGGCATAAAAAAACCAAAAAACCAAACCGCGGTTAACCGATCCACCGGTTGCATCAGTTCGGTTGAATGTATAAACCAAACAAGTTGGTTCGGTCCAGAAAATTGCCCCACGGTTCGGTTCCTAGTGCAGCTTGGGAAACCAGGAGACTCAGGAGTTGGGGGTGTAATTAGGGATCATAAGGCTCAATTTGAAAAGAGTACAAATACAAATGTGTACAATATGAATATAAGGTTTATAAATACAATATAAGGTTTTGCCCTTATCTATTGCACTGATCATAGATGAAGAATTGACTAAACATATTCAGGAGGAAGTTCCATGGTGCATCATGCATGTCGTTTGTGGATGACATTGTTTTAATTGATGAAACTAATGAAGGATTAAATGCAAAATTAAGATTATGGACAAATGGCTTAGAAATAAGAGGTTTTCAAGTAGGTAGGACTAAAACAAAGTATATGACATGTAAATTTAGTAACAATAGGAGTGTGGATCACGATACACTTAGGATTGGAGACCAAGAGATAATTCAATGTAACCATTTCTGGTACCTTGGTTCAATAGAAGATGTCACCCAAAGAATTAGAGCAAAATGGAGGGGTGCATCTGTACTTTTATGTGATAAGCAAATACCACTTAGATTAAAGGAAAATTCTATAAAACAGTTGTGAGGCCAGCCATGTTGTATGGAGTAGAGTGTTGGGCAGTCAAGAAACATGTCCAGAAAATAGACTGTAGCAGAAATGCGAATGCTAAGATGGATGAGTGGAAAAACTAGAAAGGATAGGATTAGGAATGAAGTTATCCATAGGAACCTAAGAGTAGCTCCAATAGGTGATAAAATGAGAGAATAGGTTTAAGATGGTTTGGGCATGGGCATAGAAGACCAAAAAGGACATGGGTAGTAGTAAGAAACAATTTAAGCACTAATAATTTAACTGTGGATATGGCTTTAAATAGAATGATTGGCGAAACAGATTTCATGTAGCTGACCCCATTTGGGATGAGGCATGGACGATTATGAAGATGACTCTTCCCAAACTGAGCATAATGGACAGATTCTTCTAGCTTTTCTGGTCCCATCAGCTTTGGAAATTTTCCAAAGGCATGAACTACATGCTTTGATTTAAGGTCTAAAATTGATGAACATGAATGGAATGGGGAACGTGGAAGTTGAGGACACTGCCAAAGTGTAATTTGTTGGTTGAGTAAACAAGATATGATTCCTTGGACAGTCAGGAAGATGGTGAGACAGCACAATCTTTGGCACCGTATTGAATATCTCATTCAATTGGGCTTCTAGAAGTGCAAATAAAGTAACAAACTCTTTAACCAGGGTAGGGGTGGCAAGGAATCAGCCTGAATGAGGATGTCCAGGTTTGTGTTATAATCTGTAATTTCCAATTATTGTTGCAATCAGAATTCCATGAAAAAGGAGTTGGTATTGTACTATAATTGTATCTGTTTATACCAACTTTGGCCGACTGCTTTCTAATTGAGCAGTATGGCAGGTCTCTTTAATGAAATTTTGGCATTGCTCATAAAAAAAAAAAAGATCACAGGGAAAAAAGTCTAGGAGTAGTTGAATAGATAGAAAATGCTGGAAGTTGAGTAGACTTTAGCAATAGCTATTACTCCACACATTTTACATTCTCTGGGCACATAGTAAAATAAAGACCCTCTCCTGTCGCTTAAAAAAGGGCCATTAGGGAAGAGACAAAATAAACCAAACCCAAGCATCAATCTGATAAGCTAATGTATATGATACTTGTCCAATCAACATCAGTCATTCAAGATTTGATCCCCCCCCCTCCCAAAAAAAAAAAAAAAAAAATTGAAGTGGATCTTGCCAAGGGAGGCAAGGAGATTTTTTTCATATGGTGAAAAGCTGAAATGCTTTTTATTGTGCATAATCTTCCAAATGCAAAGATGGCACCCACAAAGTGCAATTACGTCTGGGTTGTTAGTGTCAAAGGGTGCTAGATTCATAGAAGATAGGAATAGACAGCCAGATAGGCATACATGTTATTCCCTTGCCACAAAAATAATTCAAGAAAAATGATCGGTCAAATCCACTTCTGCTATGAATTCAAGATGTAGCAATTTGTCATTTGCTACTAGGTCATTAATTCATGGTGAATGTAGCATGTACCTCTTCATTGGGATTTGGGAACTCAATCTTCCTGTCAATCCGTCCAGGCCTAAGGAGAGCTTGATCCAAAATATCAATTCGATTTGTTGCCATCAAAACCTGTAAATAATAACTCATTTAATAGTTTAAACAAATGAAAATTGGACTTAATATTTTTTAATGGAATCACCAACATTTTCACTACTTTTAACATTAAAGGAACAATTAGCACCTTAATCTTATTGGAAGCTTCAAACCCATCCAACTGATTTAGAAGCTCCAACATTGTACGTTGCACTTCACTATCACCATTGCCAGTCCCAGACTCCATGCGAGCAGATCCAATACTGTCAATTTCATCCATAAAAATGATTGATGGAGCATGCTCCCTGTGGAAAGCAAAGACAAAACTTATAAACACGAGATACAAGATAAAATGCTAAATAAAAGAATAATTCTAAGTTTATAATGCTATATATCCTTTCAATGCATAAAATTGTGCACAGAAATAAATGGACAGATACAAATGCTAGGTACGTTAACACTACTGTTATTTATATATAGTTGGTTGTTTAGGAAAGAGAATAAAGCAAACCTGGCCATAACGAAAAGTTCCCTAACCATCCTAGAACCTTCACCAATGTATTTCTGAACTAACTCAGAACCAGATACCCTGATAAAAGTACAGTCAGTATGATGAGCCACTGCTCTTGCCAGCAATGTCTTCCCGGTACCAGGTGGTCCATAAAGCAAGACTCCCTATCAAAGTTCAGACAGGAAAAATTGATCACAATTCTGGTGCAAATCAGTTCTTGCAAAAATAATGTGGAAAGATGTATTCTTTTAGCAGGATGAAATTACCTTTGGTTGAGCTATTCCAAGACTCTCAAATAATTCAGGATGTTTGATTGGAAGCTCAATGACCTAAAAAGGAAAAATATCACATGGAAAGAATGTTAACTATGTATTTTTGTATAACCTAAAGACATAAATTCAACATTTTCCAATAAAAGTCATAAAATACACCAAATAATTGAATAACAACACCATTTTTCAGATTGATAATTTGATATGGCATCAAAGCTTACAATCTAAATCCCAATTGTAAAATGTAAATAAATAAAATAAAAATAAAATTTACTGGAAAACTGACAAACCTCCTTGATCTCCTTTATTTGCTGGTCAAGACCACCAATCATATCATATGTAGAATCTGGAACCTTCTCAACTTTCATAAGGTTGACCAAGGGATCAACTTTGCTGGGCAAGATCAAGTGAAGCACATAACTATCATTACGAAGAGCAACTCTGGTTGATGGTGTGATCTTTGTGATATCAATATTCTTATCAATATCCACAACATACTTCCCTTCTGGATGAACCTGAAAAGTAGAAAAGAAGCATTATACACTAGAAGTAAATATATTGCATATTTACTTCTATAAATAGTGCTGCAACATTTCACCTCTTTATCAGAAAAAAAAAATATATACTTCACAGTGAATTTCCCTTGCTTAAAGCAAATAAGTAAGTAGTAAAGAGAAGAAAAAAAGCAGGAAAGAATCAGAGTCTGATACAAAGATGGAAATTGGAGTTAAGGACCAAAAACAAGGAAAAATCCAGAAGCCAAAACCCCCATATTGCATAAACTGAATGCTTTGAATATGATATAACAAGAATCCTAAACATTGTCAGAAATCAGTCATTTATTTTAGCTTATCTACAATGGCATTGACAGATCCAGTTGTCTAGGCATCCAGTAATCCAATTAAGCTAATAAAAGGTGCATTGCATCGCTTTGTTTTCTTTTATACTTTTATTTGATGCCAATCAACTACATCCGGTAAATCTTTTCTGTTATGATATTAAACATATTGTTTCCAAATCCAAACTTTGGTTCATTCTAATTCACATGTAAACCACAGTCCACAGATGACTCAACCAGGCCCAAGATTCAGAAGTAACAACATCTCTATGACTGATAATATGATCTCACTGGTCAATACAGATGGAGCGATAGAATGACCAATATTCCTCCTTTGGAAAAAGAAAAAGATTGCATAATGCACCAGAAATTCAATTACCTATAAAGGTTGGACTACCATTTCACTAAGCTACCAAGTAAATTCCAAGAATTAACACACTCGTTGACACAGAAGCAAGCACAAAATAGCAGTAAATTATGATGGCATAACCATATGGACAGAAGAATGCACTGTCTTCATATAATACATGGAATCAAATGTACGAGTTGTTTTACTCAATGTAAATAAGCATCAGAACAGAAGAACCCGATTCCAACAGTCCAACTCCCAATGGAGTATCATACTAAGTTATATTCCAAGCATAGCTCAAAAACACCATAAATTGGGGCTGCATTTTCCTGCGATGAGAAAAGAGGAAGGAATAGAAAACCAACTCACCTTCACTAAAACCTTCGATTTACCCATAACCTTCACCACCTCTCCTACATATGATCCAGGCTCTTGAAGCAGCTGTAATTCCTCTCTAAGCATCCTGACTGTCCAATTTATAAAATCCGCTTAGCATTACCAACCAAAACATTAAAAGTATCCCAACATCTCTACATGAAGCCTAGAAAAGATGAGAGTTGACTCCTATAAAACAATACATAAAACAACATAACTAATTAGCTAAACAACGATACAAATTGCAGTTTACAAAAATCAATGCTTTAGCCCAAAACTCCGTCTAAAGTTGTTCCCACATTAGCAGCTGAATAAAAGCCCTTATATTCTTCCCATTCCTTCATCGTTCCAAGCGCCAATAACTGAGAAACAAATGCCTCCGCCATCTCTTACCGGGGAACCACAATTCCTTCCCCAATTAAACTAAAATTCTCAGAAAAATTGGGAGAAACTGAAAAAACAATAGTTTTCTTTATCCATAACTAAAAAAATGAGACTTAAATAACACATACAGGATGTCAACTCTTCTATGCAAACCCTAGATCAGTAATCAGCAAGAATAACCCAAGAAAGCTACAACACTACCATCAAGGAAAAAAATAAAAGCTTGAGAAAGCAAAATACAGGGTTAGGGTTAGGGTTAGGGTTAGAAATCGACGTACCTCTGGAATTAAGATCATTCCGCTGAGCTTCAAGGCGATTGAGATTGTGAGTCTTCTGCCGGACCTGAAGCTGAAGGTCATGGATGTGTTGAAGATAATACTGTCTGAGACCTTCTCCTTGCTTCGTCGTCTTCGAAGAGCACATCTCTTCTGGTGTAGCCGCGGCTGCCTGCTTACTGTCTATCGCTGCCGTAGCCATTATCGTTCTGATTAGAGAGAAACTTCTTCAACAGAGGGAGGCTTTCCTTCGGAATCAAGTCAAGTAGCTTTTTCGCTTCGATGATCGGCGTTTTCGTTTTCGCTGCCTTGGGCGGTACTCCTTCACCGCCTACGGGTTAATGGCGTTTATTGCGAGAACGTCGATGAATGCCAACCAGTTCCGATTAGCCCCGATTCTAATCGATGGACGGGTCTAGTTCAGGTCCATAACATTGATCGGTCGGTTGCTGCCTAATTAAGTCGGGTCCAATCCGAGTCCAACTACCAAGTGACCGGAACTATCGGTTTATTCTTTTTTTCTTTTTTTTTTCAAACTAATTCGATTATTATATAGAAAAGATATGATATCTGAAAAAGTTCAGACTAATTAAAGGAATCATAAACGTGGTAGTCCAATCAGATATTATTTATTAAAATTTATGGATGAATTTTGATTGCTCAAAACTCTTCTTATATCATATCTTTTCCGCATTAAATTTTTCCCCGTAAAAAATAGTCCTTTTTTTTTAAAGATATTTAGGTAGGTAAATTCACTTACTTTTATATTTGTAGGTTTGATTCTCAAAATGATCCCAACACCTCTTATCAACTTTCTCCAAGGTGACAAAATTATTTATTCACCTATAAGATTAGGGATATGTGATACTTATTATTTTTCTATAAGGTAAGAAACCAATATATAAGGATGCAAACGGATTAGATCATATTCGAATCAGGATATATTCAAATTCGATCCGATGTTGTTTATGTCGGATTCGATTTAATATGAAGATCAAGTTGGAGATCAGATTCGAATTCGATCCGACGTTATCATGTCATATTCGATCTAATCTGAAGATCAGGTCAGATATGATAGGACTCAATTTGAATTCAAATCCTATCGACAAGTCGGATCTTCGAATTTGATTCGATCTAACTCGTTTTCTTTAAAAAATAATAAACTATTAAAAGAAAAATAAAATATGTTAATTTAAATCAAGTAAAAACAAAAAATACAAGTATTTTTTAATTATTTTGATTATATATACATATTTTTTATAAAAAAATAAAAAATATAACAAATTTATAAAAAATATAATATATAAATATATTTATAAATAAATAAATAATATATTATTTTGTAAATATATAAATAATATATTTACAAAATGTTGCCAATATATTTGTAGTATGTTGCTAGTAGCATTTAGTGAGTACATTTTTTTTTTAAATCACTCATAAGCATCATATTTCATTTAATCAAGAAATTGATACAAAACCCAGGAACAATTTCTCAAGATAACAAAATAAGACAATGGATGATGAATGATCAAAAGATTTGCTGCAAATGAGAGAACGATGAGGTCAAATCATCAACATAAGAAAACAAACATATCACCAATCCGCCACAGACTATGAACGAAGCTGACAGAGGAGGAACCCAAAAGACTGCCATCATTGGAAACTCACTATGAGTAGCATCAATCGGAGAATTGCGAAACGAGACTCACCATGAACAACAATTGCTGGAGAACCGCGAATTGACAGAGGAGGAAACCAAAAGATTGCCTTCGCCTGCGGACAACGAGCTTGAGCGAGAACCTCGAACATAATCAAACAACGAATAGAGAAACAAAACATTGATAAACTCAAGAGAAAACCTCAAAAAAACTTGGGAGGGAGGCTCTCTCAAAACAAAGAGAGAGGGAGGAGGGAGAGAAACCAGAAGGAAAAAGGTAAAGGAGAGCCCAACGAAATCCCTTTGAGAGCGCCTCTAACAAAGAAACCCTAGTACGAATTTCATTCATTTAGTGAGTACTGGATCAATGACTTATCGTCTTTTCAAATAGTGACAAGTATATATATTCAAACATCACTTGTATTATACATGATATTGATGTGTATTACTTTATACTTAATAATGGTAAAAGTAAAATTACCAATTACCCCTTATGATTCTATGAGTTAATAGCAATAACGACAAAAAGTACAAATATATATGTAAAGCATGGTATTTGAAGATCAAATGCTCCTTCATAAAGGGTGTGAATTGGCGAAATTTCTACCAGCCTTTGTTGTGAGAAATAGGGGTAAGCATTCGATTTATTCGGTTAAAAAATGAATTGAATAAATCAAAATTTTAAAAATCAAACTAAGACTAAAATTTTTGGTTCATTTTTTTTGGGTTAAAACCGAATTTCAATAATATATACTATATTATATATTTTATATTATAACATAATATATATATATATATTATGAAATCAAATTTCATTATATTATATATTAACATACAAATATGTTATATATTAAATATCATATGCTATATATTATATATTATATGTTATATAGTAAAACTTGATTAATTCGGTTTTTGATTAATCGAATTTCTAATTCTAAAAACCAAAATATTCAAAAACTAAAATAACTGAATCAGGAAAAAAAACTAAAACCGAAAATTTTTTGTTTAGTTTTTTGGTTTTAACCAAATAATGCTCACCCCTAGTGAGAAATATGCAAGAGTTAGTATTCTAATTCTAGAAAAACCAAGGGCTCATTTGGTTGTGGGAATAAGGGTCAGGAATTGGAATTGAAATGACCCATTCCCATAACTAATGGAATGACATTCCCCCATTTTAAGGGAATGGTCATTTCCACCCTCTCATTGATTCAATTGATTCCAACTACCATTCTAATTAATGTCTAAATTAAATAGACTATGGGGATAGACCATTCTGAATCCACTGAGAATCAAATGGACTCTATGTTAAAAGAGGTAGCCAAGGGTTTTAAAAACGTACAAAAGTACACATAACAGTCACAATGAAATATTCCATGCAAATAATTGAAGGAAAGATAATGGCAGGGGGCAAAAAGTGCCTAAATCTAGAAGTATGGGGGATTTTTCTTGCCAAACAAAGCTCGGGATATTAAGTGTCACAACCCCCTAAGTATAGGGTCAGTATCTATAATCTATCCACTTTATTTCTTAACACCTATACTATTATTAAAAGTGTAAGTGATGGTGTGAAACTTTTGTTTGACAGAAATACCCATTTTTTTGAATTTGGACCCCCTCTAAATTGTAAGGACAGAAATGTAACTTGAACAATTCATTTTCTCCCTATTGAAATCCCTCTCATTAACTCTTTTATTTAAAGTATTAGTTCCCATTAATATTCATTCAATCTTTTTTTTGACTAGAATACCCCAATTTTTGAATTGTTCTCTTTCTAATTATAAGGGCACGAAATGTAATTTGAACTACTACGTTTCTCATCATTCAACTCCATCTCATTAATTCTTATATTTAGGGTATTAATTCCTATTCTTTCATTGAATACTATATTAATTAGGTATTTAAATAAAAATAAGTGTAACAAAGAATAATTATTTCTAGGATAAAAGACTTAAACATACCCTGGGTTTTCACGAATAGACTTAAAGATACCTTAACCGTTTCAAATAGACTTAAGAATACAGTATTAGCTGGCCCTACTGGACTTAATTATACCCTCTTTTGATAAAACCTTAACTACCATTTGAAAGACCTCTTTTAATATTTTAGAAATCATGTTTTACCCCTAAAAAGAATAAACATCCTTTCTTTTTTCTGTTTCTGCAAGCCAACGAAACCTAATCACCCTTTTTTAGTTGCAATGGTTCTGATATTGAATAGCTGAGATGTGCAGGTTGTTGGGTTTGCATTTGCCATGATTTTGAGGATTTGGTTCATAGATTAGATATATACTTTTTTTTTTGGTCCTGTGCCAAATTCAGAATTTATGCATTGAAAATAGAAAAGATTATATCGTGAGGGCAGAGCAATACCATTTAACAATCTAGGAACATAATTAATAGAGATCCCAAGCATGCCATAAACCCTAGGCCTTAGCATCAATTGGTTCATCCCCATCTATAGGTCCTGAGCAAGCCACTATGAATTGACATGAGCTTGATAAAGAAACACAAGCCATCCTCGTATTTTAAAGTACCATCAAAATAAATAGAAATTCCACCACTCGAAACTTGAAAAGATGGCAAAGAATAATCGGCAGTCACTGGCACCTCCTAATGAGTAATTGTCATAACAATAAGAAATACATCATCAAATCCATTCACTACCTGAATGGCTTCATTAGAGTCAATGTTCTATTTTCAAACACCTTCAGATTCCTTGCCCGCCATAGCATTTAGAGTGGAAATACAAGACCAAAACCATTGAAGCAAACTCATAGACTGGGAACCAGTAGTGCGCATGTGACACAACCCTTACAAACAAACAGAAACGGAAGAAATGTTCAATATCCACCTCCGAGAGACTAAATATACAAATTTTGTCCACGTCCTTTGAACAAAACATGCAAACAAGAGTATAAGAATTAAGGGTTTAAGGCATTCCATCATTGCATAAGATAAATAATAAAGCTACAATAAATTTTATACAAACGAGTTAAAATGAAAATGGGCAAGTGAAGGTTGGATGGAGATGAAAGTCAAGGTCTCGTTTCTTTTTTATTTCTTCTCTTTGGTTTTCTTTGAATTTTTGAAAAATGATGAAGGGAAAAAAGCCTTTCAATTGATTCTATCAAATCTATTAGCTAGAAGGTATACTTAAGTCTTTTGAAAAACTCATGGTACATTTAAATCAATTTATGAAAACTCAGGGTATGTTTAAATCTTTTACCCATATTTTTATTGATGATAGAAATAAAATACAAATTTAAAGCCAACCAAAAAATGAAGTTGTTTTCTTATTTGGTGGGAGTTAACAATTTAACCTTTTGGGTCAAATGTGTCAATCATAGATGTCATAATTAAATAGTATTATAATAATAAAAATTAAAAAGATGAAAACATACAAAAGTACAAAAAATACAAAAAAATTATAGAAAACATTGGAACACATCTCTAATATCATATATTCATCATATTAAACAAAAATAAACATGACAAATAAAAATAAATTTTATAAACGGAAAAATATAAAAAAAAAATTAAAAACATATTATTTACTATTATCATGACCATTAAAGATTTCGTACTCACTTATTATAGTACGAAATCCAAATTAATAAAAGGCACGAAGCCTAAGCCTAATCAGCAACATTGGGCCAAAGCCCAGGCCAGCGATAGCCTTGAACAGTTAAACCTGGACCAATCCATAAAGCTGCGACCCTTTGTCTCAGTTTGGGAAGAGTGCAAAAGTGAATTGTATTTGCTACATATTTGTAATTTGCACTCTTCCCAAACTGAGCCTTAATGCGAAAGTGGGTGTTAAATAGACAGTTTCAGTGCCTTGTGTTAAATCGTTTTCAAATAAAACAAGTATAGGTTTTTAAAATATCAGCAGCATAGCTTAAAAGGAGGGGAAGGGAGGGACGGAATCACAATACAATTCTTTGCTCGGTGCAGTATTTCTAAGCCTTTGTATTTACACTCTTTTCAAACTTGGGAAGATTACAAATACGTGGTGCATTAAACAGATTTGTATTTGCACTCTTTCCAAACTGAGCGTATTTGGTTTGAAAGAGAGTAGGAAAGTAAGGTAAAGGTAGGGAAACCTGGAGGAGGCTCAGTCCGCAGACAGGAAGGAATGGCGATATAGAGCAAAACTGTAGGATGAGTGACATACTGAGATCTCAAAATATCCATGCCAAAAAAGGAGCCTCAGAGTCCTACAGAAATTCCTTGACATGGTAAATAGGGAGATCAAATCTTAGACTGGATGAAGCATTCATTAAAGCTCATTGACAGCAAGTGTACAAAAAAAAATGGGTTCATTTATTTTTTTTAACAAATGAAAATTGTTCAAAGGTGACAGACCATATCATATCCTTACAAACAATCCATCAAGAGAGGACATTGTTATGAGCAACGTCGGCCATCATTTGGTTCCTTGTTCTCTTCAGTCTTCCCATCCTTTGCAATGTGGAAACCCTCAATCTTATTCGCAACCTCATCTGCCGTTACCTTCACTTTCCCTGCTGGTCCATTTGCTCCAAACGTCTCAATCTCATCATGAGAGGGACCTGTCTGCCATATTCTAATGGTTCCATCTTCAGATCCTGATGCGTAGGATTCCCCTCCAGGTGCGAAACGAACACAGTGGACAGGACCATGATGACCCTTGTTGCATCCTGCACCCAATGTAAGATATTATAGCCATTGCAGCTACAAAAGGAGAATAGGGTAAAAAGAAAACAATAATCCAGATTTTGCAATCACGAATAAGCCTTTAATAATAACACTCTAGCATCACCAAATCCCTAACTCAGGATTGATGCATGTAGACATTTCTTGCACATCATTCATTAAGATTGTTATACATATAGGAACCCCTTTTTTTGTAATGGGCCACACAACAGGGAGTAGCCCTCCCCCAAAACCCTTACCCCCCCCAAAATCCAGGTGAAGTGGAATTCGATCCCAGGTCTTAGCTACAACCAGCCAGAGACTTTACCAGCAGGCTAGCTGGCACCTTCACATTAGGAACCCAACTAAGACTGCAAGTTACGATTTGGTTCAGGTATTAGGTGTAGGCGTGCAGAAATATCTTTTCCTTTAAACTATGTGTCACTCTTCTTGCAAAATAGAAACAAAAACAAAAAACATCATTTCTTTCACTGGCAAAACCTACTGGTTTACAAATACCTACCAATCTCTGCACCACTATGGAAATCAAAGACATGTATCCACATGTCTTCTCCACCAGCAATGAACTTATTTCCATGCTTTGGCTCCAGTGATGCCGACTCCACAGTACATGGCATGTTGTAGCTTTTCACTAATGTGAAACTGTATCACAAGAAAAAATCCTTAACAACGCAAAACAGTTAAACCAACCCAGCCAAGTAATTGAAAGCAATTCAATTTGGAACTTACTGATTTGCATCCCAGAACTTAACCATTGATCCATCTGCAGTCGTGATGTAGCGGCCATCCTGGCTCACTTCAGCACTAGTTACTGGAGACTTAGTATCGAGTGTTTGGACAATTTTACCACTACGCACATCCCATAACCTGTAAACTCACCAAGATAACATGAGGCAAAAATACAAAAAGCACTCCATAATTGCACATTTTGCAGTTCACCCGATTCAGGTTTCGGTATGCAATTCATAATTCCCAACCATTAGATAAACCCCAATAGATTGGGGCAGATCTCTTTAGTTTGTTTTATATTGCTAGCATATGAAAGACAATATATGGGTGTGCTAAATAACACAAATTTGCTATACTATAGTCAGTGCTTTACATAGTAATAGCCAATCACGTGTCCACAGGGAACAACAAACTTAATTGAAATTAGATATATTTTGTTGGAAAAATATAGTCTTGCAGTTACTTTTGTTAAATATAGAAATGTGTTGGTTCCACGTTTCAGCTCTTAGAAGGCTTTAATTTTCTGTTTTTTTCTTCTTTATAACATTTATTTTTTCAGCAGTTTGACATTCAGACTAGTTTGTGCAGACTGCAGTGTGTAAAAATGCCAAAATAGACACTTCTCACAAGTAGAAGTATATCCAAACCAAGTCTTAAGATCTATAGGAGAAATCTTCAGAGAGGCTTTTGATTCTAAAAGATAATTGAATCATCATAAGAAAATATGCAAGTTCTTTACTCAATGTGGTACTTATCCATCACATTTTCTCACTTTATCACCTATGCATTTAACTTTACATTAAATACAGTACTATCACTCTATGCACTACCCTATGACTGAAGCCTTATTTTCTGACCTTTTTCTTGGTTAAAGTTTTCATTCATTTACAAAAATCACATGAATCACCCCATTGTTCCTTTTTCCAATATTGTCTGCATGTACCAGATTTCCCTACCTTTTCTTTCAAACCAAACACAGCCTTACTCTTTTGGGTTGCTTGGTGTTGTCTGCATGCCTCTAGTACAAAGGCACACCACTTATTTTCAATACTTTTTCAGCTTCTCCTGCATAGAGGTGCAGCTTGGGTTGACCCAAGTTAGCACTTTACAATGCTTTGGGCTCAGACCTTTGGGCTGAGCCCATTCAAATTTTGACAAAAGCCCAATCTGATCTCACCCAAGTTGCACTGCAGCATCATTTCGTGGACAATACCAAGTATAATTTGTTCTGTAGCAGCATGCTCCAAAAGTCAATAGACTCAATACCTGCTTCCATGGTAATTTTTCTAGTTTCGTTTGAACCTAAAACTATGTCAAACTCTACAAGTTCTCATTAACTATCGCTTATTAAATATGACATGTTTTGCACATTCATAAATGTATGTAATATTAAGCAATGCCATACCAAGCAACCAAGTTATTGTTTTAGCATTATATTTCTATTTTTGGTCTTCTGCTCAGAGTCTCATAATGTCTCATACAATTATATTTGGATGTACAACTAGTAGATCCAACATAGTGTAAAAGACAAAGTTAACACATCCTTGCACATATACTCCAATTCAGTTAAATAAGTTACAAGTTTAACAAATATCATGGAAATTTATAGAATCTAACAACTAAACATATAATGAATTTCATATAACCATAAATATGGCACTTAGACACTGTCATAAGCATGTCAACAATTTGAAGTTGTCATGTGTTTCACAATGACGATCTTCATTCCATTTCTTAAATGTTGCCCCAAATAAATGAGAAGGTGAACTGCAGATAAATAAGAAGGCTACAATATCCATGTGGTATCATATGTATACCTTACACCACCCATATCAGTACAGGAACTTAAGATTGTCTGGTCACTATGAAGCCAGGCTACAGTTCTGACTGAACCTGGAGATCTATCAACTTCTCTAGGTGGTGCATCTGGACGATTCAAATAAAAAATACGAAGGATCTTTTCAACTCCACCAGTGAGCAGCAGGTGTGTATCCTGCACACAGATAAACAAACCTAAAATGAGAAGCACATCCAACTAAGGAACATTAAGTAATATACATCCCATCAATAATTGACTGAGAGTTTAAAAAGAATCACCTAGTATTCCCAACCATAGTTACCAGATTTGTCCCTCCCCAGCTAAACGAAATTGGATCTGAACCCAACCCAACCCGTACAACAAAAATATACATATGCTCAATCAAGGCTATATTTTGCAAATGTTTCAATGTGACAATGCCAATTGAGCAGGGCTTTGCACAGGTCCACCTCAACCCAAACCTTACCCAAAACCCAATTATGGCTTACCCAACCCTATCAGATTTAGGGTCAGGTGAATGCTGATTTACCACTTAAACTCAACCCACTGACATCCATGCACATAACACCCAAAAAAAAGCCACAACCCAATGTTGGCCCCAGCTATCTGGGGTCTTAGATGCGGTGTACTGGATATGGACCTAACCTTTGGTATTTATTTCACACAAAGTGGTCAGTGGCCACTCACAGACATGAACTCAGCATTCTTCTTATGCTTGTCAGCATGAGGATATCATATAGCACCAATGTTGTGAGACTGAGACTGAACTAAAACCGGAATGCTTGTAGGGTCACAATTTTACTGATTAACTAAGCAGTTACCCAGCTCAAACCATAAAAGACAATTACTTAACTAGGACCCAGAATGGTTACTGTTCACTGGCTCAACCATCCTATCTGGTCTGAGTCATGCAACACTGAACAACACCCACCAAAAATAATAATAACTTCAAAATTAGCTGAACTTTTGGACATGAAGTATACGTCTAAAAGCAAAGTTTTCAATAGAACAAAATAAGAATCAAAAGAAATAAGTCATTCACCAAGTTTTAGACATTCTCATCTGGAAAAAAAGGTACCAAGATGTTAAGATGACACCTTTTTTTCCTTTTTTTCTTCTATTTTGGTTTAGACCTTCAAGAATCAAGTAAAAAGGATCAGGAGCTTGAGTGCTTCCTTTCTCTTCAAATTTCTTTTCATTTTATTTAGATTCCAGTTTCCTTCTTTGAGTGCCTCCTAATTCCATATAAATTCTAGGGGCAAAAAAAGAGGAAAATAAATCTTATAAAAGCTTCAATTAATTGATAATTTGATCATAAATCATAATATTTAGAAAAGAATGAGTAACCCAGTTAAAGGAGGTTTCATGCAAGCTCACCCACTTACCAACACAGATAGACTGATGGCTGGGTCTTGGCTTTTGGGCTAAGCAAGATTTTGTAATCTCATTCCCAACTGGTACTTCTCAAAAAACTTATTTTTTATCAATTCTCAAAAAAATTATTGACCTTTTTTCTTTGATCAATAACAAAGTTAAATACTCTATAAATGGTGTATCAGGAATCAGGATGCAGAGCAGACAGTACAAGAGAAAAGGTATTCCCCAATATACACCAAAAATATCATAAAGTTGAGCATTTAACAATAACATTAGATAACCCAATGTCATAGACTTCAGAAATTTATGTCATTTCATCCCCATTGGGCTAATAGTACGATACATAAATATGTTACGTCACAATCCACATGCATGCATTTTACTATCCAACCTGTAGATGCAAGAGAAGTTAATTCCTTGCATATTATATGTACAGTATTGGAATTCCTAGGCACTAAAGTAGCATGACTAAACCATGGCGAGTGCCAGAATGAATGTGTTAACTGGGTAAGCTAGTGACCTATCTTTAGATCACTTCTCATATATAGTAAGAAACTCCAATCAGATCATCGTTGGTTACAGTCAACTTGGTATCAGAGCCAAGTTTAGGATCAATTAGGGTTCTCATGTAGGCCTGATTCAGCTGGCTACATGAGAACTTTCTAGGGCTGGAGATTACAGCTTTAATCGCTTGATTCTTGGAGGTCATTGGAGATTACAGAAGGTGCCCCAGGTGTGACATCTTGGAGAATTTCCCAGTGACCAGGAAGAGTCAGAGGAAACAGGTTGGTTTGTGTTTTAGGGTTTAAATCAGTGGGACCACAAACTAATTAGCTATTTCTCTACACAAAATTAGTTGTAATGAACTTGAATAAAGAAAAAGCACATTCTCATATAAAAGATCAAATCTGTGATATAATGTGAGTGAAAAAAACACTTATAGGACTCTAACATAGCAAATGCAGAGTACAAGACAATATGAATCAATCAATTGGGTAAGCCATATGTATATCATTTATTGTGCAGATATTGGAAATAGTAGAAGATCAAAATACAAAATATTAAAGAATTCCAGAGAAACATAGATCACAAGAGAGGGGATAGAACATACCACCTGATAAAAAGAATGTGCAGAGCAGATCATGGAAGTCAGATTAAATCAACCAAGGAACATAATGTTAAGTTATCCAGGACAGGAATCATAAAAAATACTGAAAATTGTTGAAGACACGGAAGTACAAACAAAGCAGTTCTGGAAAACAAAATAGCCACACATGTATATTCTCAATTACCTCTGAGAATGCACATGCTCGAACAATGTGTTTGTGTTCAAAAGAATGCAATTCATCCCCTGTTAATGCATCCCATATCTTTCTGCAAAAAGGAAAATGTGGTTCAAATAATTTACTTTTTAACTTTTTGTGGCATTAAAATATTTGCTCAATTAACCATCATAATACAACTGTCTACAAAATCAGATAGAAAAATATCTGCAAAAAAGGAAGACGAGGTCCAAATAACTCTGATACTTCCAATTCATGTCCAAATAAACCACCATGCAAGAGTTCCCTCAATGTTGACAGACTCAGACTGAACCAGACGGTCAGAGTTAGGAACTAGTGAGCATTCCAGTTTTCAGAATACCAGTTTTCTGTTTTTTGCCAAAAATGTCTTAACCACCTACTAACCTTGATGAACATTTTAAAACCGTCCATGTTTTAGCAACCCACCTAGGTCATTGATTTATCATAAGTTATAAAATAATGGTGGAGAGACTTGAACCAGTGACATCCTATATACATGCATGATACCATTAAGCCATGACACTTTGTGTTTTATTTATTTATCTAATCTGTATTGATCAAATATGTATATGTACTTTATTGATAAAAAAATATGTATATGTATTTTTGCAAAAACATGATTTATGAGACTTGACCTGTATCATTTGTATAAAAACAAGAAGAATGACCACGATTCAGTGGCCTTTCCAGTTTGACCCATGACCCAGTGGTCGGACTGTTTGATTTTGACCCATGACCCAGTGGCCTTTCCAGTTTTGTGAACTGTTAAAATCTAACAACACCGAGTTCTATAGTATTACCTACAAGTTTGATTGCCCAAATTGTTTTTAGAACCGTGTATATCTATTGTCTCTTCCATTTGTACATAATAAGAAAGAAAGAGGCTTCAAGAACAAACAAGGAACAAATGCAACAGACAAAGAAGGGAAAAAATAAAGGGGGAAAGAAAGAGAAATACATCCTATTCCAACAAGAATTGCAAAGCAACCAAAAAACTGACCCAGTTGTGGAACACCAAAATTTTAGAAACTGAGAAATTTAAAAAGAAAAACATGACTTCAATGTTTTGGAACAGCATTCCTGTAGTACATATTATGGGTATCCCCTTGCCTTAGCAAGGAATAACTATTAAATAGTGCATGCCCTCATTACAAGGACTGAGTTAACAGGCTAACAGTGATATCAATATAAACTTTCAACAGAAAGAAGTTAAGGCTCCATACGCAGTGAAATCAGCAGAGCCTGATGCAGCACGTAAAGCATTGGTATCAAGGCAGCAACTCCACACTGCACCCTTATGCCCTTCAAAGGTCCCTATCCAATCCCCAGTCTCTCCATTTCTCAGCATGGGACTAGAATCTGGCGTTAACAAGAGTATTACCATATGAACAAAAGACTACTTGAACAAGAAAATGAAATCTTTCTCTGGCAATATGAAAAATAGCCTGTGCCATATCGCATACAATTTAGCATTTAAAACTTAACAGATAGCATTCCATGGCTATCTAATCAAGATTCTGATACTTATATTAGAAAAAAAAAATTAATAGCCAGAAAGAAACAGTGAAGATATTTAAAATATGTATTTAATATATGCTGCATAAGTTAAAAGACATAGCTCTGTTAAAGAATTAAAGAAAAAAAGACTCACCCTTGCTTGCACTGATGAGGAAAAACCCGTCAGGAGTAACCGGACTGTAGAAGAGATCGACGACCGGCCGCGAGTGGCCATGGCAAACAAGAGGAACCGCCACCTTTTTCTTATCCATCCTTCTCACAAATTCGAGAACTCAACACCCTACTAGAAAAAGGCCAAACCTTCAAGCAAAATCTGAGGAAATGGGGAAGAAAACCCTAAATTCTTGATCGGAAATGTTCTAACCTAAATATTACTCTAGCGATCTATAGGAAGATACAAGTATACCCGATTCCCTTTAATAAAACTAATGCTATTAATCGAAAAGAAGAAGACGTTTCTGAAGGCGAAGGCGGAGACGGAGACGTCGGAGTGTTTATCAGAGAAAACAGTCACAGTGGAAAAAATCGGAATTCTTTATACAGAAATGAGAAGGAATGGCGGCATTTTACACACAGGTGGGAAACGCTAACCCAAGTGAGGAATGAATCGGTTTTTCTTGCTTTAAAGTAATCCGCACCCCCTAACCCTCCAAAGAACAGCTCTGAAGAAACCAAAAATTATTGAAAATTAAATAAAAAAACAAAGAAACAAAAAAAAAGGAAGAAAAGAAAAAGAAGAAATGTACAGAACTCTCAATTCTGAAAGGGCTATGCGCAAGAGAAATGCATATAAGCTTCTCGTTCTTATAGGGTGACTTTCGGGTTTTATTCCTTCTTGGGGATTTTTCCGTCAGCTCAGCTGACGATCGTACGCATCTGTACCTGTGTGGAGTTGCAAACGGATCAGTCGGGTCTTTTTTGTTTGGGTAAGAGGATCGAGTGTCTGGCAGATGTAGATCCAAATTTCATTGGTTTGTACTTATAGTCGAGTTCGAATCGGATTCGATTTACCATGGACATAGAAATAGAATAGTATAAAGACTGCATTTGGGAGTGCTTTAACAAACGGATAGAGAAACCACAAAAACAAGAAAGACGGGTCTTTCAACAGCAATATTTCGGGCCGGGCCTGAAGTAAGGGAGCAGACCCGGCCCAGCAAATTGTAGGACTGATGCGGACCCGGGCCCCCCGGCATGTTTAAGGCTCACGCGCCTTTCGTGGATGACGAGTTAAATTCAGTTAAAGATAAGGATAATTTTGTCATTTGATGATTGTACCAGTATTAAGCTTCTCTGCCTGATCGTTTTTCGAGTCTAAGCTCTTCATCTCTCTCTCTCGTTCTTGCCGTGCTTCAAAAAACTAGTTTTCTGTGTGCGAATCGTCGAGTACTCTTCTGATCTCTTGCGAGAAAGATGTCAGGAAAAGGCGCGAAAGGTTTTATTACAGGTAAATCCTCAGCCCTGGGTGAGAATAAAGACAAAGACAAGAAGAAACCCGTCTCTCGTTCTTCTCGAGCTGGATTGCAGGTTCTTTCCCTCTCTCCATATTATATTATAAATATCTGTTCTCTTACTAGGTGACATTTTTGTTCGATTGTTTTGTGTCTTTCTTTCTCCTTGGTCGAATCCTACAAGGGTTGATTCTTTTCCCCTCATGGGTGCATGGTAGCTAAGAATATTGACAATTGCAGTTTTAACTTTCCATAAAACAAGTGGAGAAACATTAGCAGGATGACAAAGATAAAGCATAGCCTAATGAAGCTAGAAAAGACGGTCTTTTGTAAAATAGACGGGAATGCGAGTTATAAGATCTAAAGACATTCATTGCCTACTCAGGATGGCATTCTAGATGGTGAGATATGTTGGTGGAATTATTAGTGAAGACAGTTTCGTTTTATAAGCAAAAAGGAGTTTGGAGGAAGACTTTTGCTTGTACTCGTTTGATTTGTTGAATTCTGTTTCGATTTGCTGTTTAAAAAGTTCGACGGCGTTGACTTATTAGGAAATCGAGGTAGGAGTTTTACAGGCTTACCGTTTTCCAAATCATATTGGTCTCATTGTAATTGGTAATTATCAGTCCTCATGTTCTGGGAATTAAGTGGTGGAACCACTTGCTGAGCTGGTAAAATGTGTGAACTTTGACGACACAGAGCTGGGCTCGTATCCTTAAATCAACTAAATCACTAGGCTGAAAAGAAAAGGGTTTATCTTCAACACTGCAAATTCATACTAATTGACAGTAGTGAGAGCCAAAGCATAGTTTTTATCTTTAGCCAAAAAGAGCAATAAAAGATTTTCGCTAATGAAGGTCCAATTGCCAATATCAGAATGCTGATCCCAGGTGAACCAGTCCCATCAACATCTATGTAGCCCTGCAATAAAAGATGGTCATGTGTCTGGTAGATGATGCCATGGCTTAAACTCTTTCACAGGTATTAAAGATGCATAGGGTATCCTGGAGATGTGATGATTTTAAGCTTGCATGGACTGAAAAATCTTTCATTGTAAACTTCTACCCCATGAAGTTTTCAGATTATCAATCCCCTTTTTAGCATCATTGAAATGATGATATTATCAGCATAAACAAGTGCAGCATATTCTGACACCCATTTGATAATGGAGTAATGCTTATGACTTCTAATAAACACATCAATGTTGCCAATAAAAAAAAACATCATGTTAGAAGTTCTAACTTCTAAGTTTTCTTGGACTGGTGAGAAGTATACTGTTATTATGTATGTTGCTGTTGAACTCTTAAAGCTCTTAAACAACATGAAACTCCTCTTTGTGATGATAATGCCAAATATCAAGTTGGCTCGTTTGTCTTTATGTTGATTGTTACAGGCCTCTTGAATTTTCTCTACCCCCAATTTTATTTGATTTGTGATTTTTATTTATGTGTAATGTAAATTTATTATTGTTTATTATTGATATTTGATAGAAGTTCTCTTGAGGGTGGACCTTGGCACAATGGTTGGGTTGCTCCATTGCGACCTGGGTAATCAGGGTTCAAAGAGTTCAGACAGGAAGTCGAGAAACAATTAGGGAGAGAAATTAAGGCCCTTCGATCGGATCGAGGTGGCGAGTATCTCTCTGACGAATTCAGGGACTACTTAAAGGTCAGCGGGATAGTGTCACAACTAGCTTCTCCTGCTACACCTCAACTCAACGGTGTTTCAGAGARGAGGAATAGGACCTTGTTGGACATGGTTCGGTCACTTCTCGTACGCTCAGAATTACCCACATCCTTTGGGGATATGCATTAGAGACTGTTATCTACGTGCTGAATTGGGTTCTAACCAAATCGGTTCCGAAAACTCCATATGAACTATGGACCGGAAGGAAGCCAAGTGTAAGACACTTGAAAATTTGGGGTTGTTCTGCACACGTTAAAAGAATAAGTGCGGACAAGTTGGAGTCCAAAACCAGCCGTTGCCTATTTATAGGCTACTCAAAAGATTCGGTGGGTTATCTATTCTATAACCCAACTGAGCAGAAAGTGTTCTGTAGTCGAAACGCTCAATTCTTAGAAACCGAATACATCCTGGACACCCATCGTCAGGAAATAGTTCTTGATGAGGAGAGCTCAGGAGCAGTGGGAGATGTCCTACAAGTTCTAGGTAGTGACCAACCTAGAAGATCCACTCGGGTATCCAGACCACCAGTCTGATATGGTTATGACCAGGATAGTTACTTGGTGGAAGCCTTGATTAGTGAGGAGAATCCCATAACTTATGCGGAAGCTATGTTAGACATAGATACCCAGAAGTGGGTGGAGGCCATGAGAGCTGAGATGGACTCGATGGAGACCAATGGTGTCTGAACTCTAGTAGATCCGCCCTTCGGGGTAAAAGCAATTGGTTGCAAATGGATCTACAAGAGGAAGAAGGGCCCCGATGGCAGGATTGAGACCTACAAAGCTCGTTTGGTGGCGAAAGGGTATACTCAGAAAGAAGGCATCGATTA